CCGGTGCACATGATTGGTAGCAGTGCTTATGCTCATAACCAGAAAAATCCCTGCCTCTCCTTTTCTGACGTGATGATATTTAAGGTCTGATTCAGAAACCAGCCCAGCCGTGGCCTTAGGTAAGGCAGGTCCTCCTCCCAGGCCTCCTCTTTCTAGCTGGGTGACCTCTTTTCTTCTCTTCTGTTCTTTTTCGTGCCCTTGACTCTCTTGACTCAGTCTTCCCTTTCATTTTGTCTCCATTCGTTAAGCAGAGAGACGGCTTATTTTTTCACAGTTCCCTCCCTTGCTGTCTTTCAGATGAAAATACTTTCCAACTCAGTCAAATTTCATTGCTGACCAAATATGTATGGGCTTGCAGAAATGATTTCTTCCTATCCTGAGATTCTGTGTGGCCCAGAATGAAGAAAGTGGAGACGCGTCACCACGCTCTAGAGTAGTAGTCTAGGGCTGGGGTCAAGGTGTCTAGATAGAGTCTCCTAATTGGTAATATCCCATCATTGTAAAAACTGATAAAATATAAAATAGTTTAAAACACACAAAAAATATTACATGCAATTTCACTACCCATAGTTAATAATTATTAGTATTTTTTTTCTTTTTTTGGTACCAAGATTACCAAGTCCTTTTTATTTTGAGACAGTGTCTCACTAAATTGCCTAAAGCCTCACTAAGTAACTGAAGCTGGCTTTGAACTCTTGATCCTCCTTCCTCAGCCCCCCGAGTTGCTGGGATTACAGGTGTGCGCCTCAGCGCCTGGCATTGAATATTTTGATGTATATCTTTACTAGCTATTTTCTACACATGAACATGTATATCAATAATATTTTAAAAATTAAAACTGTATTATTATCCCACTCCTGGGTTTATACCCAAAGGATTTAAAATCAGCATACTATAGTAATGCTGCCACGTCAACGTTTATAGCAGCTCAATTCACAATACATAAACTATGGAACCAATCTAGATATCCTTCAATAGATGGATGGATAAAGAAAATATGGTGTATATATATAGTCAATGGAATTTACTTAGCTTTAAAGAAGAATGAAATTATGGCATTTGCCGGTAAATGGATGGAGTTGGAGAATATCATGCTAAGTGAAATAAGCCAATCCCAAAAAACCAAAGGCCGAATGTTTTCTCTTATACGTGGAGGCTAATTCACAATGAGGTGGGGGCAATAGAGAACAATAGAGTTACCTTAGATTAGGTAGGGGGAAATGAAGGGTGGGGAAAGGAGTAAAGGGAGGGGAGGGGTATAGGCATAGGGAGGATAATAGAAAAAAACAGACATTATTACTTTATGTATATATATATGACTACATGACCAATATGATTCTATAACATGTACAATCAGAAAAATAAGAGGGGCTGGGGATGTGGTTCAAGCAGTAGTGAACTCGCCTGGCATGCGCTGGGCGCTGAGTTCGATTCTCAGCACCACATAAAAATAAAATAAAGATGTTGTGTCCACCGAAAACTAAAAAAAAAAATAAATATTAAAAAATTCTCTCTCTCTCTCTCTCTCTAAAACAAAAAAGAAAAGAAGAAATTATAGGGCTGGGAATATAGCTCAGTTGGTAGAGTGCTTGCCTATCATGCACAAGGCCTCTGGGTTCAATCCCCAGCACCACATACACACACACACACACACACACACACACACACACACACACAAACTGGCAAATCTTACTGTATGCTAATTGTACCTCAATAAAACTGACAACAAAAAATTGTTAAAAAAAAAGAAAAAGAAGAAAGCATACCCATTTATGTATAATATATCAAAGCTCATAATTGCCTTCTACTGTCATATATAATTAATTAAAACAAATTACAAGTTTTTAAAAAACTGGATTATGTGGTTTTATAGTCTGCCCTTTTCACTCTTAGTAGAAGTTATATTATGAAATTCTTTCTTTCCTGAACATCAATAAATGTGCATCTCCACCATTTGATGCATTCTTGACATAGTTACTAAGTTCCTAACTGCCAAAGATTTCTCAATCCACACAGTGTCATACTAGTGTAAACAATGCAGTCACAAATAGCCTCGAATGTGGGCTGGGATACAGCTCAGTTGGTAAGGTGCTTGCCTCACATGCACAAGGCCCTGGGTTCAATCCCCAGCCCCACCAAAATAATAATAATAATAACAACAACAACAACAACAATAATAACACAACAACAACACAAAGTCTGAAAAAACAAATAGCCTCGAATGGTGAATCTTTGTACATGTCCTCACTGTAAGAGAGTGCTCTAGGAAATGGCCTGACCTGGTTAATAGCAGCAAATTGTTAGGTTCTGCTCATAGATGAGAACTCCTTAATTCTGGGCTGCTAGGATTAAGTTCTGCTCTGCTGATATCTGCCTGAATGGGGCCCTCCACTGCCTCTTCAGCTAACAGGAGCAGCCTCCTCAGTAAGTAGATGTGGGTACCATGACTGAGGCTGCGAGAGGCATTGAGGAACTAAGAGAGGGGCCTGGCGTTAGCACAGAGCACACAGGGGTAGTGTCCCAGGCTGTCTAGGGCACCTTTTCATACACGGTCTCATTGAATATCCCTTGAAGTTATTACAGGTGGAGCATCCCTAATCCTCAAATCCAAAATGCCCTAAAATCCAAAACATTTTGAGCAATGACAAGGTGACATAAGAGGAAAATTCCACATCACACATTCACAAAATTATTTAAAATGTTGTATAAAATTACTGTTGGGCTATGAGCACAAAATGCATCTGAAACAAACCAAGTTCATATTTAGACTTGGGTCATAGCGCCCAAATATCTCATTATGTCTATGCAAATATTCCAAAATCTTAAAAAAGCCCCAATCCAAAACGCTTTCAATCCCATACATTAAACCGTATTGGGAAAAATCAGACTCAGACCAGACAGACATTTGCCAAAACTATGGGACAAGTAATGATGTTGGACCACAAATCAAATAATGACGCTGTATAAAGTTGGCGTGCAAACATCCAGTAAAGTCGCTGTCTTTAAAGGGTGCAGGGTTTTTTGGGGGGAGGGTAACAAAATTTTGATTGTGATGGTTGTAGAGCTCTACAAATGTATGTAAGGCTATTGAATTTTACATGTTAAATGGGCAACTGGCAGGTATGAAGACACGAATGGTGCGACTCCTTGTGTACAACCCCCCGACATGAAAAATTGTGCTCTCTATGTGTAATATGAACCGAATCACATTCTGCTGACATGTATAACAAACTAGAATAAATAAAATAAAATAAACAAATAAATGGGCAACTTGGACGGCACATTGATATCTCGACCAAATTGGGAGTTGGAGGGAGGGACCAGTCCTTGCCAACAGGACCCCTGGGTTTGAATCCTGACTTTGTTCCTGTCAAGAAACGAGGACTTGAACAAAATTCCTCCTGACCGAGGCTGTTTTCTTATAAACAATAAGAGGATAATGACTACTAGCTGTCAGGATTCTTGGGAGCGTTAAATAAGATGGTGTCAGTAAGCCCATGACACCTGGAAGCCATTATGATCACCGTGATTCTAAATACGGCCCAGATGTGATTGTACCAGCATGGACACCTGAGCCATGCTAGTGGAACTCAAGACACCACGGTCCCCAGAGCTCAGGATCAGAGGCTATTCTTAGTCCCAGCCTGTTCCTCCAAGTTTCTTTCCAGTCAAGCTTGCAGAACTAGGGTGTGGAAAGGGGTCATTTTCAGGAGAGTTAACAGCATCTGAACTCTGGGAAGGGGCTGCTGCCAGGTTTGGGGGCCAACGGAGACCCTAACCAGGGGGAAGGGACCCTGCGTCTGGCGATGACATTTCCTGTGTGAAGCACAGAATTGTTTGTTTGCTCACGGAAGCAGCTTCCTCCCAGCTTCCGTGGTATTTCAATTCCCCTTCTTCTTCCTTCTGCTTCTCACCCAATCCCCCTTGCCCCTATATCCCCACACATGACCCTCAGCAAAACCATCCCTTCTCATTCCATCCTCAAGGCCAGGGATTACCAACTCTGGCTACTAACCAGAACCACCTGGGGAGCATTACCACTTACTGATGCCTGGGCCCCAGGCCAAGAATTCTGATACACATGGTCTAAGATGGGCAGCCGGCCCTGGTCATTTCTAACAGCGTCCCTGTTGATTTGCATGGGTAACCAAGGTTAAGAACCACCCAGCAGCCCTCTGCACCTTGCTAGGATTATAGCGGCCGTTTTTCAGCCCGTCTCCCCACCTCCCACATCACCCACCACTCCCACCCTCTCAGCACACGCAGAGACAGGCAATATGTATTTTCTTCACATATCAGCAAAAAATCACCTTCCACCTCAATTGCCGTGCTATCGAGCAGATTGGAAACAAAGGCTGTTCATCCTTAAATCCATCATTTCCAGCCCTTTCCTGCTATCTAAACTCTTCAGGGTACCCTCGCCTGAAATTGGCTCTCCAAGCAGCCTGTCCTTCCCAGCCCACACCTCGCTCACGGGGGACAGCCAGTTTTCCTGTGCCCACCTGTCCCCTTTCTAATTAATGCCACCTTCATCCAGATTCTTTACCTAGCTCCACATCCTCAAAGCCACCCAAAGAGAGGGCTGTAGGCAGACGATGAGGTTGTATTTCTCCATGTGTAGACCCTACTCCCCCCCCCCACAGGACTGGAGTCTCCACTGGGGCAGGAGGGATGCACTGGATTTCCCGTAGCGCTACCCCAGAGGCTGAGGCCAGGGTTGGGGACGTTTCACAAACACTAGTTCCCAACTTGCTAAACAGCATCCCTGTTAAAGTGAAAAAAAAAAAAAAGTAGAGAATGGAGACTTACCTAGAATCCTCAAATCAAATGATTGTTCCAGCACCCTTTTTCCATCTGTATCGTATACAACTACGTGGTAGGTACTATTATAATATCCCTTCAGATGTTTAATTTTCAGAGTTCCATTTGCTAATATCTCGTAGGTTTCATTATGCCGGGAAGGTTTCCTGCCTTTTCTGAATTGCGCAACCATGATCCCTTCTTTGTCCCATCGTATGTCATCAATAGCGTCTCTCATTTGAAAATTGGGGATGTCCAGGTTGATCTCTGGATCCAAGTCACTGCGGACAATCTTGATGGCTTTAGAGACTGAACCTGTAAAAAGCAAGACACTCATTGAGGTCTTCAGGCTCCCTACCAGAAAGTGAGGCTGTGAAAACTGCGATACTATTTCAGGGTCTCCAAAGAAGCTTCTCCCAGTGACTGTGAAGACCCACACACCCACTTACTTACCTGGGCTGGGAAAGTTGAAAATCAGAAGAACGCCGACCAAGATTTCACACCAGTGCCTCATCTTTGGGATTAGTTTCCTTGTGGCAGTTCTGAGCTCTTCTTGAAAAAGGAACTGAGGTTGAAACTGGAAGAGTCCACCCTACTGAATGCTAAACCACGTGCCTCTCCTTTGTGCTTTTTTTTTTGACAACATAGAACACGCACATACACATTTAGCACATACAGCCTTTCTGATGCACTCCTTTGCTGAAACAGTTGTGGTTATGAGTCTGTGCTTTCTTATCACACTTTATTTATTTATTTACTTAGTACTGGGGATTGAACCCAGAAATATTTATTTATTTATTTACTTAGAGACAGGGCTTCACTAAGTTGCTGAAGCTGGTCTTAAACTTGTGATCCTCCTTGCCTCAGCCTCTGGAGACGCTGGGATTATAGGCATGAGCCACCACATTTTGCAAGAACTATGCATGCACCACCACACCAGCTCTTACCACATTTTAATCCTCACCAAATTTAAAAAAAAAAAGGGGGGGGGGAGGGAATCAATCCATTGAAGAGAATATTAACAGAAAGGTTAAGTTGCCCAGGACTGTTCTTTTGTAAGCAAAGAGCCAAATTCAATGATCCAGCCCGTCTTCTACCCACTCAGCTATCTTGCCTCTGACAGAACCACCTAGAAACATGGGTAACTGTTCTTAAGTGAATACAAAAATACAAATATTTATCCCTATGATGATAAATACTGGAAAATGTATACACATGAAATGATTAGGAATGGATTTTTTCCTCTTTCCTGAAAAGATATTTTTAATGTTCTAAAATTGTTTATGTTATAAAAAGGAAGAAACACAAATTGAGTCTCAGCTGTAAATGCTTAAAAATCTCCAAATCTTCTGTTTAGCACATATTTTACAACTCTTGAAATTCACCGTTAGGGAAATAAAACCTTGTTGCAAAACATGTAAGAGGCATGGAGCCTATGAAAACCAACCAGATCGAGAAATATCTAAGGTGGTCAACATTGCAGATGGTGAAAGAAAGGGAGCGAGAGGGAAAACAGAGAACGAGAGAACAGGGAGGGGGAAGAGATGAAATTTGTGACACTGGGAGAGAGTGATGCAGAGGTGGGTGTCTTCTGAAAAGGATGCCCTGTGAGATCCAGCACAGGAGACACGGAGAGCCCAGGAACAGATTTCCAAGGGAAGTTTTCAGTTGGAAGATTCATCAGGACACAGTGAGCAAAAGTTTTAAAAGTAGTGCTTTTTTAGGTTTTGTTTTTCAACGTCAGGTATAGAAACAGATATTATCTCTCAGAAAGTTGCCCAGGAAATGCAATGAAGTCAAAGCAATAGATTGCTACTGTTGTGTGAAAGGAAGCCTAAATAACGTATTCACCTCCTGTTGTGTGATAAACCCCTCATTCACAACACTCATGATGACAGATGACAATTGGATTAAAATTTTAAATGCTATAAAACTGTAATACTGCTTAAAAGACAATATAGAAAGATGTTTTTATATCTTTGGGTACAGAAGGCCTAACTACATGTATCACACAATCCCAAAGTAATAATAATAATAAAAAAAAGATGAACATCATTGACTACATAAAAAAATGTAAAATTATAATTTTCACATATATTGCAAATATTTTGTCACGTCTTTCCATTTTTTACATTATTTCTTGCCTATAAATAAATTTTTAATCATCAATGAGGAAAAAAAAGCTTTTAAAATGGGCAAAGGATATAAATTATCAGCTTATAGAAGAAACATCAAACATGACTCTAACGTCACCCCAAAATAGAGATATCCTAGTCATCAAACACCATCTTTACCATAGGGTTTGCAAAATTATAAAAGACAATAACTTACATTATTATCGATCCGTGTTTATGTGTGTAGTGCTGGGAATTGAAACCAGGGCCTCATGCATGCTGGGCAAGCATTCCACCTTTACTGACATGATTGTCGGGGGCTGAAGGGAAAGTCTCTTTTTTAATCTATCAACTTCTGTGAAGTTCGAAATTCTGTTAAAGGACACCAACTTTTTCTGTAATAATTTTAAAAAAAAATAATACAGTAAGCTTAAGGCACACATTTTCCCCCTAAAGTATATGTAGACTCTGAGAAATAATTAGCATGTAGCTTCTTTGCTTGTAAGTGACTAACCCACCAGCCACCCGTCTAAAGCTAGCCCTGGTGACTATCATTGTTTAGTTTACTTCTGATCGATCCATCCATCTATTCTATCTCCTTAATTTTGGAGTTGGGTACTAGGGATTGAACCCTGGAATGCTCTACCACTGAGCTATATCCTCAGGCCTTGTTATTTTTTATTTGGAGACAGAGTGTCTCTAGTTTGCCCAGGCTGGTCTTGAACTCGCCACCCTCCTGCCTCAGGCTCTGTGGCATTAAAGGCACGGACCACCCTACCCAGCGTGCCTCTGCTTTTAAGACAGGTTGCTTCCTCTTCCTCTCATTTGCCTGATAGTTTCTCCAGTGCTCTCACAGAGCAAATGGAAAGCTGCTTTCTGTTCTTTTTTTTTTTTTTTGAGACTTTAACTCTCCTCCTCTCACGTCTAAATTAATTGGGAGTCATGAGCATGTCTTCAAGGGCAGAAACCATGAAAAAGAAAGGGATTCATAGGTATGACTGTAAAATTTTAAACTTTTGTATGTAAAAACCTATTTAAAAATTTAAAGGCCAAGTACTAAAAGAGACAAATTATTTGCAAGATACTTGACAAAGGCTTAATATCCTTTAAATTAATTTTCTCTTGGGCTGGGGCTGTAGCTCAGTGGCAAAGCACTTGCCTAGCATGTGTAAGGCACTGAGTTTGATCCTTAGCATCACATTAATATAAATAATATAATATAATATAATATAATATAATATAATATAATATAATATAATATAATATAATATAATATAATACAATATAAACAATATATAACATAAATAAATATTATAAATATAATAACAATATAAAGTAAATAAATTATTTTTTCTTGTAAATGTAGTAAGAAAAGATAGACACCTTCTTAATAATATGGGTCAAGGTCCTAAAAGGAGAAATTCACAAAATAAAATACACAATTAAGGGGCTAGAGATGTGGCTCAAGTGGTAGCTCGCTCGCCTAGCATGTGTGAGGCACTGGGTTCGATTCTCAGCACCACATGAAAATAAAATAAAGATATTGTGTCCACTAAAAAACTAAAAAAACAAAAAGATACAATTAAATAAGAACTTATTTATACAGAGATGCCCGTCTTAACACAGATACATTTTCAATTTTCATTTAAAAAAAACACCCAGTGTTGATGTGGGTAAAAATGCATCAGTAGAAATGCAAATAAGTGTGATTGCTGGTGGACAATGTGTCATGTGAATCAGAAGCATTGGAAATATTTGTATTCTGACCCAAGTCCACAAAAATAATTTTTTCATAAGAAAAAAAAATGAAGGATCAGGACTCAGATTTGACTATAAGCTTATATACTACAATATTAAACTGAAATTGGAAATAATGTAAATGTCTAAGAAAAAAAATGAATAGGTAAATCATGGTATGGACAAGCCATGGAAATATGAAAAAATCAGGACCCAATTGTAGGAGAGAAAAATAAAATCTTTTTCTTCTACCCATCTTAGGTACTCCAGCCTTGTGATTACACTGGAAAAAGAATGATTAACAAGAGAAAAACACCCAAGTACATGAACATGTGCATAGGGGAGCACCTGGTGAGGAGGGGTGGTTAGAACCTGGCTTATATACCACATTAGGCTAAGTAAGTAAAAAGGGGCTGAGGGATCCTGGGGGTTGGAGAGAAGCAAGTCATGGGATGACCAGGAAGGGTATGTTAAACAAGGGCTGCTTAATGAAAGATCTGTTTCTAGACTGAACTCAGTACCGGAAAGGGAGTAGCCTTTCACAAATGAATGCTTCCTTTATCAATGTAACTTTCCCACCCAAAAAGGAATCTTGGTGCCCTATGTTTAGAGCTTTTCCTGCCTCTGCTCATTCTCAGTGGCTTTTAGTTCAGAATAATCCATGTTCCAAAGAGGTGTGTTTCAGAGCCTCATGTCCTGGTACCCTTCTCAATAAATGATGCAATCTCATTTTATGTATCAAAATAGTGTGTGTTGAGTGTATGTCTTTGGGAATGAGGTCCCTGTGTGGTGGGATAAGGACTGTCTTTCTGCTGCCTTTGGTTGGTGTTGCTATTCTATTATTTCTCCATGGAATCCACTGGGTTTGGGTTGATTTTTAACTCTAAGTGGGCTTTGTAACAGCTCCAAGGATGGAGGCTGGGTGCAGTCCCGTCTGTGGGTGTGAGTGTTTCAGGAGAACATCTGGTCGATGACTCCGTCCAGTTTCTCAGTAGTCTAAGGGCTACCTCCTGCTCTATCTCCACCCATCATTTTTTAAAATTCAAACTAATCCTCCTGGGAGGTGGACTAACAGGAAGAGACCAAGAAACGGAGGAGGAAGACAAAAACGTTCTCAGAGGTCTTGCTTTCGGATGAGATCCCTGACTAGCAACGTGCTGAGAGTCCAGCTCCACTTCCTCCTATGCCAAGGGAACTCTCTAGCAAGATTGAGGTCTAGAGGACACGGTGGTCAAACTCCATTTTCTAATTCACATCCAACTGAATTTCTTGAATTGTGAGATTTCAGAGGAGAACAAAATTCAAAAGGGGATCTCTCTACAATTCAGTTGAAGAAGGCTCTAGGGATGCATCTGCCCACCTCTGCCAACCCAGTGCCCAATCCTCAGCTCCTTGGACCTGTGCGACAAACCCTGGGACCCTCTGGCTTCATCCTGAGACCTCCTGGCCGTCATTTCTGCCTCTTACATCTGGCTTGCCCCTACACAGGGATCACTAAGTCCTACCCACCGAGCTATAGAATGTCCCTCCCCCCTCCAGTCCAGCCACGTGTGCCCTCACAATGCCTTTCCACAAATTCAAAAAAGCAGCCCCATGTGTAACACTTTTCACTAAAAACTGGCTTCAGTGATTGTCAGAAAGCCTGCACCATGGGTCTCTTTGC